GGGTTAGAAAGTACAGATACTTAATGTAAAATGTAGTGGAGTAAAAGTCAAAAGTACCCATGATAAAATCTACTTAAGTAAAGAACAGCAACAAAGTACTTGTACTTAGTTACATCCCACCAATGGTAAGAATTATCAAAGGTTTTTGACACCTGAGAGACACCGTATTCAACTCCTTTGTGTTTGGAAGTGGGGGGGGGGGGTGGGGGGAGGACCAGGGAGGATGATTCAACCACTCAACCACTAGATGTCGCTGAAAACAACAAATCCTACACACTATGCCTTTAATCCTCATTTTGATATGATGGGTCACACATTGTTAATAAAAAAAATTAAAGGACAAGCATTACTTGAAGGAATGCATATTTCCCGCTGTCTTTTATGCCAGTTTTCAAACTAAGATCATCACATGTTAAAGAATTACAGAGTTGTAACCGTTTTGGTTAAACTTAGGAAATTACATTATGCACAATCTCATTAACCAAGTTGTATCTTATGATCTGTAAGATTCACTGGGCTTTATAAAGTTGATTAGATTCGGTTGCCATCGTATTTATTCTGAAATTCAATATGCTGTAGATACAGTATAAAACCAATAATTTGATTCATGGTTGGAAAATTTTGCCACATTCAATCAAATTTTGTCACCTCTCTYAATATCAGTCTGTTTGTAAACTTTACATTCCTTAAAAACAATCTCCTTCTGTCCCTCTATCCCAAAATACCCTTAAAAACAACCAAGAAAAACAAGAATACAGTGTGGGGTGACTTTCATTTCAACTAGAGCTGGGTAAAAATCCACAGAAAACACTTCAATAAAAATTCCAATAAACTAAATCTAAAATGAAAGAGAAATACATTAGAAGCAAATTGCTGGTAAAACTGTCAGTATGAAAATCTCCATCTTCAATTGCCAAATGAAAAAGGAAATTATAAAAGCTTTCTCTATTGAATGACACAACAAGCAATAAGCAGTGCTGCTGTTCAATTAAAAGTTCTATTACTTTTAAACGAGCTTCAATTAGCAAGGTGAAAAAAAGGCAGAGTAATTATAATTTTTTCATTCCTTAAATATTGATGCTGCCTTAATTGGAGCTGGAGAACTATTGACGCACGTTGTGCCATTTCATTTTAGCTGAAATTTGTACCTTTTCCCCCCATTTTTCATTTTTCTTCAGAGTTTGAAATGCCTTTTTATTGTGTATCTAGACTTTTATATTTTATATTACATGCTTTCTTTCGCCAAATGTTTGGCAGCTCCAACTTGTTAAGTATGAAATTTAAAATTGTATGCTCTGTGTTTGTAATTAATTTTGCATAAAAAAGTATTTATAATGACTCAACAATGTGTCCTGAATGAAATAAATGGGGTCAATTATTAAGATTTGATTGCATAGTCTTAAGTAACGGTAACACCTTCAATATGTAACTTGTTGTGATTTAGTTTCTTTTTGCAGCCAAAATGTTCCTCTTTATTACTGTTTTCAGACTTTTACAAGTTTGTGAGAGTAAGGCTTATAAATTCAGATATTTTGTATCTCTTGTATTATTGTTGATATCTGGTACCAGACTCTTCCATCTCAGTCTGTCTTTTGTGACTTATTCATCAGGGCCCGTATTTATCAAACTTCTTAGAATTCCTCTTAAGAATGCTGCTAAGAGTGGACTTAAGTGTAAAAAAATTCTTAGTTAAAAGCTGAGAGTAAAAGTCAGTTATCAAGC